GAAGGGCTTGCTTGATTAGATTTAACTCTAAATGTATGAAAGTCTGCACAGAAATTACTTGACAGAAGACCTGTATTCTTCTCCATTAATAAAGTCTGAATACACTTTGGAAGGGGGTAGTTATGCAATTTACTGATGCCATCTCAAACAGTGGTAAATTCACTGATGTAAATATAAATAAGAGCTCATCTCAAAGCTGTAAACAGGTAAGGGGTGCCCTTGCTAAATACAAGTAAGAATATACTTTACAAAGCCCACAGCAGTAAAAAGTTTAGAAAAACATGGAATTAAGCTGGAGAGCAAACCCATTCCATGGGTCTGAAACAAAGAATGTCAAAAAAACCCTTGCATTTAAATAACTAGTATTACAAGCTTTTGAAATTGGCATAATTAAGGAATACGCATACAGAGGAAGCCCCCTTTATACATAAAGGTTTTGTAGTGGACATTTAAAAAGAATTAAACACATAATATCACGCAAGGAAAGAAGAACAAGCAGATTTGGTAAATTACAGCCTAAGCGGTGCAAGGCAGTGTGTTCGGCTCCCTACACCATTCCCGGGCTCCCGTCTGCACCGCTCCCGGGCATAAAACTCCCACCGCTCCTGTCCCGCACGGCTCCTGTCTCGCACGGCTCCGGGGCTCAGACCCGCACCGCTCCGGTCCCGCTTCGGTCTCCAGCGCGCGTGGCTCCCGTCCCGCACCGCCTCCACTGGCCGCGGCACGCAGCCGGGCACGCCGGCGTCCAGGTAGCCTCTCCCCCACCCCTCCTATTTTGTTTTGTGGCCCCGGGGGTCGCGCCGAGCGGGGACCGCAGCGCTGGGACTGCCGTGCGGTGTCCCCGAGCCTTACCTCGCTGAAGCGCGGAGTGCGCGGCTCCCCGAGCCTTACCTCGCTGAAGCGCGGCGCGGAGCCCAGACCGGCCCCGCACATCTTGCGAGCCCGCGGAGCAACTCCGGTGGGCGGGCTGGGGGGCTCGGTCGTTTTAATGTTTCTGCTGCTGCTGCCCAACCCTTTTCCGACTCCGTCTTCTCCGTGCACGCCCACCCCGGCCCTGCCCCGTCCCGCCCGCCGGGGCGTGAGCAGCGGCGGGCTGGCACGGACCCCGTGGGGCAGCAGCGGGGCACACGAAGGCGTGAGGCGAAGAACTCCCCCGCGGGACCCCCTCGCCCTGCCGGCCGGGGGACGCAGGGCTCCGGCCTCCCTGACCTGGGAGCCGCCTCTCGGCACCGGGCGCACCCGGCATTCCGGGGAAGGAGGTGCTGGCACGGCCCGGCCGGCTCCGAGCACGGCTCCTGCGCCTGGCGGGGCGCCGGGGGCAGCTTCGCGCCCCGAGTAGGCCCAGAAAGGCCATGGCCAAAGGCAGCATCCCGTATGCTACCTCAGCTGTCCCTCTTCGAGGACTGTGTAAGACATGTTTAAGGAAACACCTGGAAGAAGCTCTTCCATTTTCTCACTACAACCAAGGTGTGTTTTTGCCGTGGCAGGCCCGGTGGCTGCTACCCGCACTCCTGGCCTGCAGAGTGACTCACCAGCGGCTCCCTCCGGAATTGGTCTTGGTGTTTCCACATGAAAAAACCCCAAACAAACAAACAAACAAACAAAATCAAAAAACCCAACCCAAAACCCAAAAACTAAAAAAACCCCAAAACTCTGTGTGTTCAGAGGATGTTGTAAAACAACTGTTTGAAAGTATGAAGAAAAGTTTTTTTAATGCATTTTTTCAGAAACAAAATTGGCAAGGGCAACTACTTAACACTCTTTAAAAAGAATATATTGTATATTCTTTTTAAAAGAAAAACCACTTTTGGTGTATGTGAAATGCCAGCTCTGGTGTATTCTACCGTTGCACTTGCTGCAGAAATATTCCTCTTCCTTCCTTGCTCTGCTCTTGTTAACTCCAAATTGAAATGTAAAAGAATATCACAGTAGGCCAAAGCACAATATAGTGGTTCTTTCAGTTTAAAGCATTTTGCCCATCAATTAGCTGTAGCAGTTGTTATGGGGAAGCAGCTTTCCTCTGTAAGACAGTACAAGTATTCTACCCTCAGGAAGAGGGTCCCTCTCTTATTTATGCTAATAGTCATGCTTCAGTTGCTTCACCTCTCCCAGAATGACTCAGATAAATTACACTGGCAAACAGACATTTACTCTTCTACCACAAAGCTAGAAACTTGAAGATATTTATCCTCCTGAGAGGCTGGAGGAAAATGCAGCCGTTAAGTCACAACTGTCAGAAAAGGCACATGAGATAAATCATGCTTGAGGTTAACATATGTATCCCCTGCAACTGCCCAACATACCCCAGATATTTCAAGCTTTCCCCCTTATTTATCTAATACATAGAAAATACTAAATAAATGTGCATTCATTAGGCATTTTCTTCTAGGAAATAATTCTCACATCATTTTAAGTAAGAGGAACATATTAAAGGAACATGCTTTAATTAAAGGACAGAATGATTCAGGGTTTCATTAGTCAGATGTGCAGGCTTTCATGTCCAGGCTATTGGTTACCAGCTGAGAGGATACCAGCTCAGAGATGTGACATCCAGCAAATTGTCAGAGGCTGTGTAGAATCACAGAACCATAGAATGGTTTGGGTTGGAATGGACCTTAAAGATCACCCAGTTCCTATTCCATTGCCATGGGCAGGAATAGGAACTTGGTGATCTTTAAGGTCCATAAAAGATCAACCTTTCACTAGGCCAGGATGCTCAAAGCCCCATCCAACCTAGCCTGGAACACTTCCAGAGATGGGCACATCCACCCTTTCTTTGGGCAACCTGTTCCAGGGCCTCACCACCCTCACAGCAAAGACATTCTTATCAATATTCAAACTAAGCCCACAGTCTTTCAGTTTGAAGCCATTCCATGCTCTTGTAAAAAGTCCCTTTCCAGCTTTCCTGTAGGGCTTCCTTTATATGCTTAAGCACCACAAGAAAGTAATCCCAGAGCCTTCTTTTCTCCAGACTGAACAAACCCAGCTCAGCCTTTCCTCATAAGAGGTGCTCCAGCCCCTTATCATTATTTGCATCTTTCCTCTGGACCTGCTCTGACCATGTCTGGTCCATGTCTTTCCTGTGCTGAGAACCCCAGAGCTGGACACAGCACTGCAGGTGGGGTCTGGCCAGAGCAGAGCAGAGCAGAGGGGCAGAATCCCCTTCCTTGAGCTGTTGCCCACACTCCTTATGGGGCAGCCTAGGATACAATTGGCTTTCTGGGCTGCAAGCTTGCATTGCAGCCTCTTATCCACCAGCACCCCCAAGTCCTTCACCTCTGCCTCTCTCAGCCTAAAGTGATATAAGGAGTTGCCCCAATCCAGGTGCTGCACTGGGCAAAATATGCAGGCAATAAGCAATTTCAGTTCCATTCCGAAAGGTGGGTACTTGTATCATAAAAAGCATCATTACACTTAGACAACCATACACATTTACAGCCTTCTTGACATTTTGGCAGTGAGGAAACTGAAATATAGCTTCACTCTTCACAGGCAAAGGGAGCCAGATCAGCTGGATTTTCACTGAAGGCTGTCTAAACCCTCAGAAAAGATAGGTTTACATGGCTCAACTGCACAGGTTCTAACCTGCTCACAAGGGCCAAAACACAAACACAGGACTCAGGCTGGTCCAGCCAACTCTATCAAAACGGTAGTAGCTGGCAAGTATTTAGCAAGGGGGTTTACACCAGGGTTACACTCCAGCCTCACTCAGAGAACAAGCCACCAACAGAATGAGAACTCTTTCTCAGTACCTCTCCAACTGCCTCGTCCACTGATAAGGAAGCTTGCACTCCTACTACAGAAATCCAGTGTATACATGGCTCCTTTGAGAACTCTGGAGTTGCCTATGGTCAGAATAAGGAGAAAGAACAACACAGTGTTATTCATGCATTTCAGAAATAACCAGATTGCGGGTTTCTGTCAAATGCCAGCAGGAAGGCTGCACACATCAGGACACCAAACTGACACAAAACAGATGCCTCACCTGGCTAAACTGGTTAAAAAAAATGTTCTACAACATGTCTACTAGCATAAAGAGACAGACACATTTTTCACAGGGATCTGAGTATGTAAATGCTCTTACGCAGCTTTCAGGATGAGCAGAAACTCCCATTTTAGGGAATGTCATGAACAACAAACTAATACTGTGTGACAGCCAAAGTTCTTGTGGAACTTCCAGTGAGAGCTTAGTGTGGTAGGGATTGCAGAAACCTGGCTAGTCACAGAGCAATTTCCTTGCAGGAAAATGCTTTGATCTTGTCAGAAGAGAAGCTGTAAGCTGGGGTCCACCCAATGCCTGCATATCAAAAGACTGGTGGCCTCTGACACCACCAGACCGAACTCTCCTAGTGCAGCTGGACAACTCACAATTGCATCAGGGGAGTGTCTGAACACTATCCATCTTGAAAAGATAGTGACAATCCCTGTGAGAGAGATTAGCAAAGGATTTTTCTCCAACACGTCATTCTTCTGCATTTTTCAAAAGTCTTTGTCCATTTAAGCAAAAACTACTTTAATTCATCCTGATGCAACCTAGGTCACAGAGGGAGCCATTCCTCTCTGAAATGCTGGGTCATGACTGGAAATCTGTGAAACAGTACCAGAGTGCAGGATTGGTCACCAAGAAAATACCAAGAATGGCCTGCAGAATCCCCCAAAATTCTCATGACTAGAAGAAATAAAAAAGTTGGATTCATTATTCTGCTGCAATCCTTGCACAAATATTCCATATTTTGAATCACTTGTCAAGATTTACATGCATTGTAGCATGCTCTTACGTGCCTTCAAGTAATTGATACTTTTCAAAATCTGTAAGGAAAAAAATATGCCTAATTAATGTGTTCAGATGGGTTCAAATGACACCTTAAATGAAGTAATGCAGGCAGAAGAAAATTATAATATTGTGAGAGAACCCATACTGGGAGACTATACCAGAAAGTTCTAAGAGAGCAGAGAAGACACTGAAAGTATTTCTGTATCTGTAAGAAAGCTACAAAGACTAAATTAAATTATTTTATTAATTTGTTACATAAGAGTAACTACAAACCATTTATACTGATTCTCCAGTATACTGAGTACCTAAGAGAACAATTCAGATTTATTGTTCAGTTTAAAATTAATCAATGTTCCAGTTAAATCGCTTTTCCAGTTTAGAACAATCTGGTTTTAAATTATTCTTTCCACAGGGAATAGGTTAGATAAATTAATTTTCTGTTGATATTCAGTTTTCAAAAATTTCATATCTTCTTTCCTCAGATTAGAATCAAAAACCTGGTTTGGGGGAAAAAAAAGTAATGAGAACATTGCAAAGATTAAAGCACACATATTTTTTCAGTATTAGTATTCTATAACTTAATAATAGATGGTCTGGTTTTAAGTTCTTGACATTGATAAATAATATTAATTAAATGGCCTCTTTTGTTTAAAAAGGCAACCGTAAAAAGTTTACTATATTCATTTTTGTGAGAATCTGCACTATATTTTTAGTCCACTAAGCTGAATATATTATTAGGAAAAGCTCAAGTCTGAAGGGAAAGAGTTGAAGAGGTTGAGAAATTGGCATGCAATAGTTTGCATGGATATCATTGTACCCAAAAATTAACACACTTCAATATACAAAGCAATCATTAACATGATGATAAAACTGCTAATATACTCTTGAACTTCCTACTGGTAGTTCAACTACAGAATGTTTCTCAGAGGGCAGTGGGTGGCCAAGCCACGGTCAGGATCAGACACATTCCACCTGGGGACAGCGACAGCTCTGCTGCCATCGGTCCCTGCCGGGCTCCCTTGAGCCCCACCCACAGCGCCTACAGAGGGACACGCTGCGGCACCGGGAGCAGGGCACACACCTAACACCTTCTCTCTACATATCCTACAGGGGGCTGCAGAAAGTTAAAAAACTAGGTACAGAAAAAGTCTCCCACCACATCATACAAAAAATTATCAGAAGGTTGGCTTATCTGTAATTTTTACCCAATGCACAATAGTGAGAGGTAAGCTTCAAAGCTTTGGGATGGATGTGGCAATGTGGAAAGAGTTAACTGCCTTGAATTCAATCAGCAGCAGCAAGAGCTACACCACCTTTACCCCCATTTTCAAAAGCATGGGTTAACCACAGAGGTGTGAATATTATGCAGTCGGCTTGGCTTAGTAGACCTATGAACTTACCAGTTCACAAATTATTTATATTCTTATAGAAATAGTTCCATATAGAAATAGAAATATTTCAATTATTTCTATTTCTTATTTTCTACACGTGCTACTCAGAAAATAATGACTTGGAAGTCATGTTGGGGGGACAGGTGTGATAGAAACACTTCTGCAGCCTGATTAAAAACAAATTCCTGAATATTCACGTTAAAAACCTATTTCCATTATTTTCCTAGGAAACATTCTCAGGTGCCTTCATCTCCAGTAATATAAGAGATGAAAACCAGAAAGAAACAAGAAAAATAGGAGAGGGAGCTACTCAGAATCAGGCAGGAAGCTACTTGGCTGCACAGAAAATGGCCTCACCCTTTTCACTGACTTTTAGTTTATATTTTTCTTTTCCTTATTTGTTTCAAGAGTTTCCTTCCACTATGAGTCACAGAGCTCTTGCAAAGGCAGCTGACTGCATTTAGGTAGATAGCACTGATAAATTGCATCCTATTTCAAGTAATGGTTTATCTCAACAGAAAAGGAGCGTCCCAATCAGTCACTGCCATAAATGACATAATGATAGGGAAGAAAAAGTGCCTTCAGTTCTCTGGTGTATTCCCTGATCCTATTGGCAAGGTGATGGGTTACAAAGATGAAATGGATGCATTGATGCATCCTGAAAATGGTCACTGTAGAAAGGTGAACAAATTTTCTCTCTAGGGGAAGTTTGTTTTACAGAAATAAGAACAAGAGGAAGAATTTCAACCCTGGGGAAGAATATGCATATAATTCCAAGAATTCACTTGAGGGATAAATTCTGAGTTTAAACCAAAGCAAAATCTTAAAAAATGGCCACCTTTAGGGTAACTGACCGAAGAAGAAATAAAAAACAGAAATAAACTTTCTGGTTTTGTATGTCCACCACTTTTATACCCTTTTGGTCCTCTGTGTTCTGCGTCTCTTACCATAAATTACTCCTCCCTGCTATTCCTAAATCTCATTAGTGTTCACTTGTCAATTTCTTATTAGTTGTCTCATTTCTTTGACCAGTGTTGGGAGTACTTTAGAAAGGTTCATTTAGATGAGGTGATGTGGACTTACTCTTTAGCAGCCTTTGCTTAAGAAGAAAATTATTACTGCCAGAGTAACCCCAATGTAGTTGTAGATAGGGGCACAAAATATGAATCCACCGAGTCTGTCTTTCCTTCTGCAACCTCACCAAAAGTAAAAGAGGACTTGCTCAAAGATTCTAAATTAACAAACATGATGTAAAACTTGTAAATACCACAGTCAAAGGAAGAGGCTTCAGTGATCTATCCCAAGGCCACAGGAGATAACAGGGTTTCAGTCTTTTTGGCAATTATAGCTCCTAACAGAAAACAATGGCTATTAGTGAGGCACAATGTGCAAAACTGCTCATCACACCTGGGAGAAAGATAGCTTGGTGAGCTGAGTCCCAGCACTTAAAACCTTGTGTCATCTCAAATTACACCTCACTTAGTACATAGCTAAAATTAAACTCTTCTGTAGTTCTAAAGACACCAATTGGCAGCAATAGAAATTCTAGGAAAGACTACAAAATAACAATGAACAAAACCCCACCACAGAAAAAAGGCCTGAAACAACAATAATTTGCCCTGAATGTAATTAGAAAAGTATCAGATTAAAACTGTAACTTGCCACAGCTTAAGAAGAATGCTTTTTTAGTAATACTATTCCTGATTATTCCTCTCATTACTCACTGAACTGCTTAAGATACCATGATCAAGCCTGAGAAAATCGTGGCTTGCCTTCCTTGTAAAAGCAGGTGCAGACACCAAAACCATTGTAAAATCTCTTTGACAGAAGGAACACTAAAATATATTACTGAACTCACAGCCATTCTCACACTAGACTAAGGTCACTTATGTGAGGCATTGGGAAGAAAATCTGGTTTAATTCCAATTAGCTCAGAACAGGGAGGTGGTCAGTCAGAATCAAATGCAAAAACCCAGAAGTGTTGTAATGAGCATGGAGCTCTAGCCATGTAGTCCGAATTGCCACTGTTCTGGTTACACTGGAGCTAGAATTTGCTAGCCTACATCAAGATTTGGTACCTTTGACACACCATTTATGTTTGAAGCAGTATGTTGATGTGATGTGTTTCTTTAGAGACAACTAGAGGTGAAACTCCAACCTGTGTTTTGTAAATTCTTAGAAAGTCATCACTGCCAAAAGCCTTATTTAGGAAATAACAGGCACATGACTCACTTCTAGTCCTTGTTTCACTAATTCAGATACACTGTGAAGGAAGGAGTCCCTCAACAGCACAGTTCAAATTTTTTTCATACTGCTAAGGCATTGTTCTTTTCAAAAGCAGTATTAGCTGATAGCCACTGGTAGAAAGGTTTATTTCTGGACAAACTTTCCAACTTTTACTTAATCATTGCCACAGTTTTATGCAAAAGCTAAAAAAATGCCTAAAAATTACATTTCTTTTATAAATGAGCCTTACTGTTTGGAACTATTGAACCCCTCATCACACAGCTGAGCCAGGCACAGAGCAGTTCTTAGACACCTAAAGTAGCATTCCCAGATACTGGAGCCCCCCAGACTTGCAACTAGAAAATGACCTTGCTCTGGAAATTGTGTATATTTCTCAGAACACCACACCCTGTGCAGATAATAGTGAGCAGCATTTCATACAATATCTTGTTTTTCACAGAAATTATTCTAGAGGCAAATCTAGACAAATTTTTTGTGGACAAATTTACCAGAAAAATCTAGACAATAATTCTGAGGAGTTGTTATCTAAAAGGTAAATTCGTCTGGATTTTAGCCAAGCTGTATAGAAGCTGTACACTTTGAGGACAAACAATGCAGGCTAGAATCTGTGATTGCTGTATGCCACTTCTTGATAAAAAGCTAAGGAGCTTTGTTTCACAATATGACTAAAGCAGAACAGCACTGGGAAAACTGCCTCAGGAAGTCCACACACAATATAAATCATAATCAGATTTTCCATACCTTTCTAGACACAGGAACTCCTAAAATATCAAACCAATGAGACTACAAGTTGAATACTAAGCCAATAGATTCTGCAGGCATATTTCTCAAAACAGATCTGTGAGGTACATTTATCCATATTCATCTCTCTACAGACATACCTATCTTATAAGAAAATGTGAGGAACAGTATAGTCTCTTAATGAGATTTCCTGAACAAACCCAAAATGAAATCTAAACTAATTCCCAAAAAAAGCTCCAAAAAAACTCACCCCAATTTCCAGTAAGTAATAATAAAGATGTCTTTTTGGCTCTTGAAGATTGCTGCTCACCTCTTGACCCTGCAAATAGTTTATTTGTACCTGGACTTGGCTGGAAAGATTTCTGCTTTGGTTTATCTACAGGCTAGTAACTAATATGCATAGAACTCTCTGAGTCAATGCCATAGTAATGCTGTGATATGCATAAAACTTTTTTGGTGATCCTCAGATATTATGTATTACAATGAAATTATATTTTTCATGGAGATTTGCAGGATATTGTACAACATAAATACTGTTATGATAATGGCATTAACTTTTTTTTCATCCACTTTTTTCTTCTTCATATATTGTGTCTCTCTAATAAAGTATTTGAAAAATTATTTCATACCCAACACCTATATGACACACTAACAGGTAGTACTTTTGCCCTATATTTTTCAAGGCGTATCTCCTCATTTGAATTAAACAGCCTGATGCTCTTTAATATATAAAGGGATCTGTGGTATAAATAGGAGTCTTTGCATGGACTTCAATGGATTGAGGAGCAGCATTTGAGATGGAAATCTAAAATCTCTTTGAGGGTTGTACAAAAGTGTTACCCTCAAAAATATCTTTTGTCTGTTGCCAATGTTAAGGATTTCAAATCAGTGATCATTATCAGCAGACATCACTATCTTGAGTAGATACTTACTGTAACCTTCTCTGAATTAAAATTACATGGTACTCACTGATCCCTGAGAAAGCAAAGAAAAGCTCAAACCTTGATTCACACAATAAAACTTGGATCCCAGGAAACATGTCTCCCATCATGCATTCCGTTCAGAATTTCAACATCATCTTCTGCTATTGTAAAATCAAACACCTGTGGGAATGCACATACAGTTCACATCATGAGCACAGACAGAATCAACAACCTCACATATATTCTAGTATTTAACTGGTCAAGGTTCACTTTCATGTGAGGCCCAATTTTTATGTATTTTTCCTTCAGAAAATTCTTATATTTCGTCATAGAAAAATACTCCATCAAGCTGACAGGCTCCATTGGGTCCTTTGCTCCTTTAGTGACTCATGTTTATTTGTGCACTATGTTAAGATGGTTTTGCAGCACTCTGGCCTCAGGCAAGGTTCCAAGACAAAGGCAGTATCATAGCTGTTTTTGACAGCACTCTCTATTGTCTCTGCCAGAGGTAGGTATAGGAATATCCTGACAGCAATCTCTTTGGGAGAATGAGCTCAGTATTTCACTTACATCCCAATGTTCAGTTTAGAGTGTTACAGTTCTCTTTCTCAGAACTTTACACAAAGAGAATTTTTACAAGGTATTAGGACATTCACAAAGCTAACAAGCCAAAGGCTGTGTCTGTCTTTTCTATGACTCTACTTTGACAAAATTCACACAAATCAGCTAAATACAGAAAAAGTGCCACGGTGCCTCAGTACTAACTCAAACTGGAAAGCATTCACCTGTCTTCAAACACAGGTTCTTACAGCCACTGCCTTCTCCTGTGGCCACAGCTGCAATGTGAACGATGGTGTCAGTGCTTTCTTAGCAGGTGTCCTATTGAGACATTATCATCAGGCAGTTGCTTCTGTTCTCTTTGTCAGAGCTCTTCTGTGCTAAATAAAAAGATTCTGTGGAGCCTGAACTGTAGCCAAATGAGCTCCTCCCATCCTGCATTATCCAGCAACCACTGTTCTGGAATGATCCTTGTAGTCAAATCTCATTGCTCTTTCAAGCCTTTTAAGCTTAAACCAGGGACCAGTCCCAGAACTAGAAACCCTATGTTTTATATACTGAGGGTTTAATGAGGACCAACTTGACCAGAAGTGGTAGAGACTCAGGCCAAGCCAGAAACATGAGGGAAAGAAAAAGAAGGGAGGTGTGATAAACAACAAAGACTGTGTCAGTTCTTTCCTCTCTCCACCTTAAGTGTTTTAAGTTTGGATTGTAACACATTCCCTGAGTTGTGTGAAATGAACTGGTGGTGCCATTGAGTGAACTCTGTAAAAAAATGAAATTAATCTGGATTTCAAATATTATTGGGGAAAACAAAAGTATAAGGAAGGATTTTCAAACTGGTTTTTTCTCTGATCTGGTTCCCAATACAGTACCACAAGCAGCTGTGCTTGTACCACAGAAGGCATTGTGAATGTCAGAATAAAAAGTCAAGGCAGAAGCTGTATAAACAGGCATGGCCACCTGCAGAAATTCTCACGTATATTGATTCACACCTCTACACACACACACAAAAGGATAAAAACAGCAGATGGAAGATTGCTGTCTTCTTGCAAAGTTTCTTCCAGATTTGCCACAGCAGTTCATACCCCTATGATATTTTTGGAAAGAAGTTGTGGTTTTGCCTACCCTAAAGAAAGAACATATTCAGATTAGAGAAATAGAGAGACAAAGCAAGTAATGAATTAAAACCATTTGGTATGAAAAGAAAATTTAGAAAAGGTGTGGGGGAGGAATCACACTGCCAGTTCTCATTCATTTCCACTTTTCTTTGTCCAGCCCCTTCATGCTGGGACCTTTTCTGCACATTGAGTAGAAGGAGAAGGTAGGGGAAGAGTCAGGGCAGGTAGGACTGTGATTTCCTTGGAAGGTCTTTATGTTGGAGCTATCCCCAAGTGAGTTTTAAAGCTTTCATAAACTGTTATCCATAGCATCCAAACTCCTTCCATTTGACCAATGTGCCTATCACAAAAAGGATGTAACCATAGGCAGATTAGGATGTTCTACAACCAGACAGGTAATAACTAGAGCTATTAATTACAAAAATCAACTGCAAAAGGTCTTCTATGGATTTTTCTTTATTCGCAGTAATTAGCTCTCCAGGTAGTTTCTGATATTTGTGAGTTATAGTTTTTTTCCTACATTGTGGTCATATCATGGTACCCATTTGCCAATTGTGAATGAGTTACCCCAGTATAAAACTGGTAAGGAAAATGGGAAGGCAACCCAAAATATTAAAAACTCTCACTTGGATGTTAGCCAGGCTTGAGTGCATAACCAAATCTTACCTTGCAGTTTTCCTCTACCCGTTCTGCCCTTGTTGACTTTGGAATAGTGACAATCCCATTCTGAAAAGAATTATGCTTCTCATCAATAAAATGTGCAGATTTAAAGAAAATTATCTATCTTCAAGCCATTACAATGAATTCCTCACATCTTCTGAGGTTCTAATTTCAATTTCTGGGGGACACTGACATTTTTCCATGTCATTTGCAACTGCAGTTACAAACACTGTGCTGATTTCCAACACACTACATGGTTTATATCAACTTAATACATTATTTCACTGCTTAGTACTTTATATTCAGTGACAGAAATAGAATGATGAGGAATACTGCTTGTAACATCTACTTTGGAACATTTCTTAGTGGTGGCTCTTATTCTATACAACCAGATTATTTATAATAATTAATATTTGAAATACTGGCATGATTTGTGTACTACATTCTAAATTTCCAGTACAGCCACCAGTTCACACAATATCAACATATTGAAAGCAGAAATATCTTCTGGTTTAAATAAATTCTGGTTTAATGCACAAACCCCAAACAATTTGCATTTTTTTCCTGAGAAAGGAGACACATTTTTATTACCACCCTCCATTACCTGTATGCTCCAGCGTATGCAAATCTGTGCTGGAGTTCTGCCATACTTCTTTGCCAGCTGAATGACAGTAGGATGGGTGAGTGCTTCACCTTTGGCTAAAGGACAGTAGCCTTCAAAAACAATATTTCTGCTCCTACAATAATCAACCAGCTCCTGAGGTCTTTGGAAAGGGTGGTATTCAACCTTAGATAAACAGAAATAAACTCAGTAAAAACCCTGAAAACACATTTTGTAGAAAACATCAATGAAAATGAAAATAATTTCTCTCTTGTTTTAAAGATAGAACATGAGTGAAGTCACTGTTTCTGGGAAGTAGGCATAAGGTATTAGTTTTAGAAGATACATGAAGGGTATTAATCACATATTTTACCAATAATTGGCACAAAAAGTTAACTGCATTTTATGTTTCCCTCAGAAACCAGGCACAGTTGTCTGCCTGACCTGCAGCTGGACTTTCACTATTGCTCTACTGTTAAGAAATATATACAAATGAACAGTGGAAGTCAGCATCAGGTCACTTTTATTGGTACTTTGAGACTACTTTCTCTTCCCCAAATCTATTTCCTTTCCTGCTTCTTTACTAATGATGCTTTCAAGTGATCTTTGAGTTGCCCAGGCAAGAGGAGGGGGCTGAGCAGGGGCTGGGTTTGCAAGGGACCAACCAGAACAATTTGCTTAGGGTGAGGACCTGACCTTGGAAGCAAAGCCTGTTGGCATGGATTGCACATGGCAAATCCTGTGTTGTGTGTGGTGTCACCATCAGCTTGTGCAGGGAAGCAATCACACTGTGGAACTGGATGTGTGAAGGAGACCCTTTGTAGGAAGGAAGATCACAAATTGCCAAAACCAGTTAAAAGAGGAAAAGTAACAAGCTACAAAGACACGGTTGTTGGGAACAAAAGGAAAAAGAAGTTATTGGACAGTAATCATCTCAGAGGAGAGACATATTCTGGCATGTAGCTAAAACCAGAAAAGAAACTCTGTGATGTTCCTTAATAAGTTATTTAAATAAGTATTTTACAGTCTATTCATTGTAAGAAGCATACATTACTCTGCATTTAGATGAAAGTGGGTAGTGTTTGCTTTAACAAAATACAAAATCATGTGATGCATTTTTGTGACTGGTCATCAGCATTGTTCCAGGTACTGAACTCTTACGCATTTTGAAGAAAAATACTCTTCTGAGCAATCACCTCAATACGTGGAATCTGGAAAATTTCTTCTGCCATAAAGAGGACAAATGAACATTTCCTGTTTCTCATCTTTAGTACATGTTGTCTTTTCAGACAACAATAGCCAGGAACAATGGGCTGGCAGTCATTCAACGTGAGCTAAGAAAAAACTGTGCCCCTGGAAGGCTGGGCTGAGTCAGCCTAAAGCTGCTATGATCTAAATTACTAGGTGGACTCAGGAACAAGGTTCAAGCAGCAGACATCCATGTCTTCAACCTTTGATGTTTCTTGACCTTTGAGTACCCTTTGTATTTCATGTTTGTATGTGTAAGAGCAGTGCTTAGGTCATACAGTTATTCCCTTCTTTGCACCTGAGCTGGATACGAAATATTCTCATTGTATCTATGCAGAACTAGGAGGGGAGAAGTGAAAGAGCAAGCCAGGTGTATTACTGGATTAGTAAAAGAGTAATAAGCAATTCTAGCAGATATTCTTTACAATAAGTATAGCAAATAACGCAGTTCAAAAATATTAAATAAAAAATTATGTATTTAGGACCAAATCCTGAAACATCTGCAGTGCCTCTATGGCATCATGTGACTTATTCAGCATTTATTACTAATTAAACTGCAAGTAGAATTTACCTGCTGGTCTAGTAAGACTCCAGGCAGCACAGTTTCAGGTTACAGCAGAAATGTTTAAAGCAAGAGCAGTATGCTGAGGTATCACCTGAAAGCTTCACAAGCAGAATACATAGCAACAACTACTTCCCACCTGAAAAGATCATACTTTGTGCCTTTCACTGAATCCAGAGGCTCCCAAATTTTGTGAATAGAATTTTTGACATTTTGACACACACAGTTTTGTGTTGGTAGAAGCAAGTCTTTTTCTTCTTAAATATATTACTAAAATAATAAAATGCATCAAATAAAATAAGCACTTATTGAATTTATTTTTTTTTAATTAAAAAATTCTGGAAGGTTTTAGCAGCATCTGCAAGGCACTAGGATCCTGAGCTACAAGAGGCATAAGGTGAGCGGTCAACATATGCTTCCCCTCAAAATAACAATTCTTGCTTCCTGTCTTGCCCCACCCTTGCTATTTTTGTCACCTTTTTTGTCAGACTTTTTCAGGCAAGGACTGTCTGTCACATGATGGCAGAGGAAGATCTTGATCTTTTCTGGCACCCTACCCTGATTCTGGCATGTAAAAACTGGCATCTGTTTAATAGAACAGTTTGCAGTTCACATTACAGAACTTCACAGCTGCTACATGCCCAGCCACAGGGGACCTCCAGCTAAAGCACTGTTTTCTTACAACACTCATAGCAGATGGGGAAAAGCTGAGCCTAATAACAACCCTTACACATGGCCTTAGTCAGACCTCAGATGATGATGCCTTACTCCTTCCACCCTGCTGTAGTCCTTTTCACATGACAAAGTTCTGCACATCTGGAATTCAGTAATTTTCTCTATGGCAATGCTGTCTCACAATTTTTTTTCTCTTAATGAAACTGAAATACAAGCCTATGAGTATTTTATAGAAGTTTTATTTATAGAAGTTTTATATATAGAAGAACAATTCAGGTGAGTTTATGTACAAAGGGGTTGTTTTCTAATGTCTTACATGCATTTATACCTTGTACAAATTTATACAGTAGAGCTCAATATTAGTGGCAATATCAACTATGTAAGTAAATCTCTCTGAGGTCATTACACAGTAATTCACACTTCTCCAGGACTGGAAGAGTGTGGAGAAGTGCACACTTCATCATCATATATTGATGAACATTCCTACATGGAATTCATAGAGGAACAGCTTATATTTGGGTTCAGTGTATCACATTAGTAAATGAAACATATATATTTGTTAAGTACTTATAAAATGTATTTTTCCCCGTAATGAGTGACAGGGCAATGAACCTTTAGAGAGACTTCAAAGATTTCTCTGAGCATAAATCAGAACTTCCTACTGCCAAGTCAATTACAAAACTCTGGCACACAAACCTGGAACTAGGTTGTAAGTTTCACTCTACATGATGCTAGAATAAAGTACATTTTCAATCATTTTACAGTGTTTACCAGCATTTTTAACAGTATATTGAAGGTGCTTGCTTATTAATAAATAACTTAGCAATACCATATTCTTGAAAAGACAGGCCTTGCCTGCCTCTTTAAAAGACATGACAATACTGTTTTTTCCCAGGAACTGAGAAGAAAGGCAGTACTTGAAACTTGGTTTGTAAAACAGAAGTATTGCTTATTTCTCCTGCCTTCCTACTTTCTCCCCTTCACAGATAAAAAACCCAACTTTCCATTTTAACATCATAAGGGAACTGTTGTAATTGTAAGAACATCCTGAACTCTAAAAGGGAAGTATTTTTCCTCCATTTGTTTCTTCAATATTTAGACTGTATCCAATGACTCTTTGCAAATGTTTTATATTTAGTAAGTCCATTGAAACAGTACACTATTTTATGCATAAATATAGCGGAAAAACTGTATTATAAATTGTGGACAGTGAAATAAGAACTCAGTACAGCATTTCCATTTTGAATTTAGAAATGCATTATTTATTTGATGGTACTTAAGTAATCTTACCATCAGACTCAGTAACTCTCCAACACTAAGCAAGAAACAGAATACATACTTTTTTGAGGATAAGCTGAAGTATGGTTTATAAAATTCCTTTAACTCTAAAAAAATATAAATTGATGCTATAACAAAACTGTTTTAGGTGAAGCACTTGGCAGTGGTATGGGTAATTCATTGTTGATTTTTGCTTTCAATTCACAACTGCTGTGTAGCATCTCAAAGAAATTACTAGCAGGGGCCCTCTCACACCCCTCAGTATCACCACCACCTCAACTTTTTGTATCTTCTTTTTAGCCTCAGAAAAAGCAAATAGCACCAAGAAACAGCTTGTGTCCATGAACACCATTGAAAAAGTAAGACTGGTAACATTTTGACACTGTGGGTAAGAGGAAATTTCAAAACAAAATCATTATTTTTTCCTTGCAGTGATTTAGTAGAAAACTGAAAAGCTACTATTATTTAACAGGCAGTACCAATTCATGCCAAACTCTAGTAAGTCTTTGTACATGTGTATTTCTTGAACCTTGGTAAATTCACCAATTATTAAACAGTCATCAACCTGCCCACCTTAACATATATTTCCATGGTTTATTTTGAATAACTGGATTTAAATATTGTGTATGGGTTTATGCTTATTTAAAATTAATTAATTGCCCTTTAGTAACCCTTCGTATAGTGGACAGCCAAAATCAGAGTTGTTTGGTACTGACAGTCACACTCTGAGCAACACTTTCATGGCTGTGAATGACATTAAACCATAAACAGCTGCCAGAAGTCCTGACCATCTGTACAAAGGGGAAAACCCTGTGCCTGCACCCCATCCATTCCAGTTCCCACATCCATGTCAGCACACACACACACACTATCTGGCAGGAGGTGGAAGGAATGGGAGCATGAACTTCCAGCACAGCTGTAGGCAGAACCTGCAACAAGGGAAGGTTTGTCGAGTGTCCTGGCAGCCTGCCGGTACGTAGGTGGCCATCCTAGATCTGCCTAGGGCAGCAAAAACATTCTGCCAGGGCTGTCACAGCACCTGCCTAAACCAGGAGTTCACTGAATTCATGTGAACTAGGAAATGAGGGGGGAGCAAGGGAAGGGCACCCTTACATGGATATGTCATTAACTGACTCTTTCAGTGTTGCTTACAGGAAGCACAAAAGTATTCAAACAGAGGCTTTCCAAAAACTGGTTCACTCTGAAGATGCTAAATGTTCTGTGATTCTTGAATTTTATTTCTAAATTGTTTTATCACCAAAAAACTGTCACAGGGACCATTTGTTTCTGTCTGTGTATCCAGACACAAACAAGTAGCCTGGGAGAAACTGGGTGGGGAAATTTGAGGAAGAACTTCCCTACCCTTTGGGTCATCTTCCGGAATGGTTTTCAATATGCAAATAGAAATGAAAAAAGAAATTGTATGAGTAAGGCAATAGTCTGGGTGTAGCCTTTCATACACAGGAGTGGGGAGGATGTTGCTAACCAAAAAAACCAAAATAAAAATTCAAACCCAGACACTTTAAATACATGTATCCACTCACCTGATTAACATGTGGAGTAATCACACAGTCCTCCTTTAGTTGCTCAAGATGGCTGATAAGAAAATTGCTTACACCAATTGATTTACACAAACCTAAAGAAAAACAGAACAAGAAAAAAATTTAGGACAATCCTGACTACTTGGGTGGATGATATGAAAAATAACACTTTCTAGAGACAAAATTATTTTTACATCATTTCTGTAGAGCAAAATACCACAAAGGAACACAGAAAAACGGCACTGAAATCTAGTTTGACAGTGTTATCTGAAAACGTGGTTCTGTCACAGTCACATTAGGAAATCATTTTATAATCTAAACACACTGGAAACTCCCCAGTGTATAAAAACTCCAGGCTAAATTCTGGGAAAGGCTAATGTAGTATAAGCAAAGAACAATTGGACTCCACCAGAATGAAAAGAAGGAAATGGTGTTCCAAGCAGCTTGCCAAAACTAAAGGAAAGTGGAACATTTGCTGAAGACTAATAAGGTGTGAGCAATACAACCCAAGGACATGCAGCCCAAACGAGCCAAGTCACACTGCCTATTTTCTATTAGATCATTACAAGAGGTTAGGTAAAACTCTGTGTAAAATCTTCACGTTAATAAGCAGTGCCTAGCAAGAGCCTTGAAGGTTAAAAATGTAGCTGGATTTCTCAGCTCCTGCTGACAAGCAAATGAAGTCAAATGGGACCTAGGTGATATGAAGGCTACTTTTTAAACAAACCTCAAGTGTGCATGCAGTGAAGAAATTAAGAGCTGACAGGCCAGAAATCAGATGTCTTCCTTCAAACCTCAGATGTGATAAAAGCCAACTCCCAGTCCTGACCTGCCACCACCCCTCAGCCCTGACCTGTCTGGGATAGTTTGGTCCTTCTGCTTTGCTAAGCACAGCTGGCAAGGAAGGCAGCTGGGGCTAGGCTAGGAAGGGTCTCCGTAGGCTGTGGAGGCATTCTGTGGACCATAGCTCAGGCTAATTTCTTCAGTATGTGAATTTTGTCTGCATTGACTTGAGCTGCATTTCAGTTTGTCACGCTACAGATGGAAAGTCTGTCTCAGTGTGAACACAGAAGTCTGATCACTGTTGTTAATCCAGTATTTATTTGAGCAGACCAATTGTATAAAATGCATAGACATGTGTGTATCTATATACAAAAAAAAAGAAATTACATTTTTCTAGTCCTCTGTGAAATTCTGTAAGTGAAGTTACAGCTTACTGCTAATTTGTATAAACAGATTGTTGAAGTCCTAAAAAAACCAAAATCAGCTTTCACACATTTTAGCAGCATAAGCTAAAGCATAAGCTGTGGCAAAAAAACCTGCACACATACTATCTCTTTTTGATGTGCTTCTTTCGTGGAATACCAAAAGAAGAAAAAAATATATTAACAACTAAAATTCCAGATGTCTTTCCCTTATAGAAATTACCATTGTTCAAGGTGTATAACATAATTAGGTTAAAAACCAGCACTATAGTGATTTACATAATTTGTATGTAATCTGGCAGAAGGAGCAAAAGCTGAGCTTTTGACAAACAACCCTAGAGTGTCAACACTAATAAATCATCATGCCACAGCAGTCAGAAAAACACAGCTTTAACACAATGGTGAACCAAAATATTATACACTATTGTTGAAAGCTAAGGAGTTACAAAAACATGCCATTATTGCCCTTGAAGAATAAAGCTTTAATTTCAGGTTGAAATAAAACAAAATTAGGTCACAGACATGAAATATTACATTTCCACAAAAAGCTTCAATTTTTTCCCCCTACAGTATACTTGAAGATGTTTTGCTTCTAGCATATTTCTCACAGGAAACTTTGAAGTCTGCTCCATCGTGTTAGATTTCCCATCAAGAAATTTCAGGTCATTTATGTTTTGCATTAAAAGTCATCTGAGTCATTCCTACTAAAATCAGTATTATAGCATTCATGTGTTCAGAGTGATATCCCACAGAGAAAGCTTAATTCAAAACTGCCAAGAAAGTAAACATTCTCCCAGAAAACAGAGAAATAATTAGAATTTCAATGTTTTTATAAAACCAGTATTTTCTTAAGGGAAATTTTTTTAAGGGAATACACTTAAAACATTTCACTTTCATTAAATACACATACTTGTTTGGGTGAAGTTAGAACCCTTCATGTCAACTCCATTGCTTTGGTGTTAGTTACAGTTTACTGCATGACAGTTAAAGTGTTTTGACTTTTGCATTAAATTCCAATATAAAATATAAATAGCAATTAAACAATTGCTCAGTCTAACTGTAATAAAAATCTTATTTCAATGCATAATGGAAACAGGAATTCCAAACACTGGAAAGAAGAGCTTAAATTTGTATAATCAGTCAATGGATTCTACTCTAGAGAATTGCTTCTATTTGCCTGATGGAAAATTAACACAGTTGCTCTGCATTGTCCAAATCTCAGAAAGACTGCCTTTAAGAAAAGGATTATACAGAATTATGTCCATATTTACATCTTCTGGATTAATTCAGATTATAATTAGTGGAATTTAATCAACAGTAGAAATAAAAAACATGCATATTGAGAAATTTGTGAAAAATGGTCCTGACTCATTGCCTGGAAACAACCTGGGAGATGCAGGGGACATATTTCCTTATTTTTCCTCTCTCATGGGGCAGCAACAGAGGTAAGCTCCTCAGCACTCCTGCCATGGGTCTCAAAAACACCAGAATGCTCTTGAAAATGGGAGCAGGCTGTTTTTTGTGGTTTGTTTTTTTTTTTTTTTTTCCAATTTATTGCCTGTTTAGAATGTTTTAAAACTTCATTTCAGACTTTCAGACAATTCAGGCAAAATACATGTTGTTATAGCTGTTGTGATTGCAGGTGGTTTTGAAGTCCATACTTCTTTTTAACTTAACCATTTTAACTAGTCCTGAAGTTCAGGTTTCCTGAGATAAAAGTTTGCAATATATTAGCTATAATTCCTCTAGAAAGTACTCTTAAAATATACATTTTAACTATCTTATTTACAAACCTACAGAGCTTTGACTCGGAGAGAAAGCATCCTCCTTATCTGCTTGAGGAAATGATTGGTCTGGCCCCTATGAAGCAGATTTTGAGAAAGTGCCAGGTGCAATAAACAAAGAGTTTGCAATTCCCCATTAGCTCCCAAAGGCTCCTGTTATATCTTCTGAGGCTTTGTTCTATTCCTTGCGACTCTGACTTCACAGGCTCAAAGAAAAACGTACGAACACTGGTTCCTTTATGCATGCTAAAAACTGACTGACCACAATGCTGGAACAGAAAATTTCATCCAGCTTTGAAAGCCTATCATAAAACTCTGCAAGACACATAAGAAAACATATGGGCAAAATAACAGTTGATTATAATGGAGAAAAAAGCAAGGATTTGTTTTATTCTCCACAAAAAATCTTGGCCCCTATCACATGGGTAATTTCACCACACTGTATTTCTCCCAGCTACTGTGAAGCACTATATCATGTTAATGGACTGGTTTGCAATATAGTTGAGTATTAAGCTTAAAGTATTTTGTATTGCAACTTAGAGAATGACTGGGTATTTTTATCTTTACTCTGCATAATACCAAATTATACAAAGTTTGATGGGCACTGTTAGTCTTGCAACAGAAAAACATAAATATACTGTCTTGGCACCACGACCCTGTTTTAGTACAATAGTGAGCCTTATCTTTCTCCAGCACTACTACAGACTTTTATCAAACTTCTAAATATGCTCCAGAATATTAAATGTACAAAGTTCAGATCAAAAAGATTTTGTAAATTACAAAACTGGATACCAGGTTTGTGGAGCCCATTTTCCTCCCCCTCCCTGCTGCTCTACATGAGTCAGAGCAAGGGAGAATTCCCACGTCGAGTGAACAGTGCCCATTCTGTTATATCTTCTATTCAGGCCACAGAATAAAAACACAAATGGATCTACTTTCCACAAGAGGTCAACTGCAGTCACTGTATCTTTATTAAGGAAGGTTGCACAGGTTGGAAAGGTCCACATTCTCTCTGATACGCACGCTGGGTGTAAATTGCACTACTCATAGAAACCCTACAAGATTTCATTTTAGCATAACTTGCTAAATCAAAGCTGTAGGCTTAGAGTGGCCCACATGCAGACTGAAAGCCAAAGCCTTGATAAATAAAGCAGACTACTCTTAGAATCAGTGAGGAATTAACTTCTAAATCTGTGAAATAACACATGTTCCCACAGCACAGGCTAAAGCACACTGACACTAGAAGGCTATGTGCCCCTCTCTGAGACACACAGGGAGACTGTGGCAAACTGCAAATACAGAAATTGTACTTCCTCCTCCGAAGGATCTCTTTTAGCCTATTCACTGCCACAGTACAGGTGCTTGTCTGAAGTTCTGTGACCATCACTCCTGCTACACATCCCCTGTGAACCATGATAAAGCATGAGGACAACAGGAGGGCAGGCATAAGTAGAAGTCCAATTGTTAACTTCCTGACTGAAAACTCATTACAAGCAGTCAGTTTCCACAACTAAATGACTAACTAAATGACTAACTAAACAGCAAAATGCAGCATAGTACTGGCTTAATACACATTGTCTCTGACCATGACTGCTCATTCTAACTACTTCAATGCAATGTTATTTTAGTCATGTTGACATATTTTTATCCTTATAGTTGACATTATGAACCAGACCAGATTAAAAAAACCCAATCCACTACATGGGACAAAATCAATCCCACCATACCTTATTCAATAATGCTACCACACACTGTGACTTGAAAATGTGATCAAAATTATCAACAACTCAGCTACATAATAGAATAGAATATGTACCCCTAAAAGTAGCTCTTTGGAGGTATTACAAACATAGGTAAGATATATTAGAATGTATATATATATTCTACATAGTTTGTTGCCCCTATAGATATGATGGCATGGTTTCCTGAACTGGAATACTTTTTGGACTTCTGTATCTGAGAGGATAATGATTCCCAAGTGCTATGAATAACAGCAAGCTAACTGATGTTAAGAAATCAACACTGATTTAAAATAGTTAAAAATCTAAGGTTTTTCTTCAACATATGCAAAATAGATAAATTATGCCTTTTCCACAATCATGTACA